GAGGGGCCGATGCTCAGGTGGCCGCCACTCCCCATGCCGGAGATGCTGCCCCCAGCCCTGCCACCCGCAGAAGGTGGCCAGCCTGCGGGCGCTCTCACAGGGGCCGGGGGCAGCTAGAGCATCCCATGGCCGGGCCCCCTGGGATTTGTGGATTTGCGCCCCTGCTCCCCCCACCCCTGATCCCCTGGCCTCATGGCCACTTGCGGGCCATTCCCTGCATGGGCTGTCTCTTCACGCTCTGTGGCTTCACTCCAAAATCACAGGATCATTCTGTCCCAGGCCCTGCACCTCAGCCAGGCTTCCGCTCCTAGGACCCTCAGGACTGCTTCAGCCCGGTCTCTGAGGCCCAATCTAACGTGTCCGCTGGACACCTAAGCCGCAGACTCAGCTCCCTGGCCTGAACGCCTCCTCCACTGGCTGCAAAGACCAAGAGCTGGGAGCTCAGGACGCCTTTTCCAGGCTGTGCTGGTGAAACCCTAAGTAGGGGTTTACTGGGCCCAGGCGAGGGAGGGGTGGTGCATGAGGAGGTCAGGGTTCACCCCCCAGCACTGCCTTCTCCAGCCATTGAAAGAAAACCCTGGCCAAAATAAACCAAGACGTTGGCTAACATCCTGCGTTCCGGCCCCTCTCTGCTCTCCAGGCCCCACGGGACACTGTCCATCTGTGACAGCCCACGAGTGCTTCCCAGCTTGGCCAGGAGAGGCAGGTCACCAGGGCTCCAGTGCCTGGGCTCCCTGAAAACCACGGAAACCCAGGGCCTCCACCCGAGCAGGAGCATGGCATCAGGGTGACTGCAGGGAGAAGCTCCCGGCCCACCTGCCGGTACTAGCTGAGGGACCCGGCAGGCTGAGGACCCCCACGTTCCCCAGCTGTGCCCTGGAATAAGGACACAGGTCCCAAAGGGCTGCTGTGAGGCCAAGGTGTCAATGCATGTAAAGCGTTCCAAGCAGATGCAGCTGTATGGTCGGGGGCTGGCCTCCCTCAGGCAGGTTCCATGCGAAAATGGACATTGGCTGGGAGACAGCCACCCAGGCACTCCCCCTTCCTGGGGTTCTTTCTAAGACCACCTGGCCTCCAGGTGACAGGGATGGAGCTGGCGATGCTGGGTGCAGCAACCCAGGAAGGGACCCTAACCTGGGTCCCTGAGCCACATTTGTTCAGGGAATGGTGACCTCTGGCGCTGGGAGAGGCTGGCTGTGCTCAGGTGGGCATGGCCCCTCCTCCCTCAGGGAAAAGCCAGGCCTGATTCAGGGGTCCCTGAGAGCATCCCTCGCCCAGGGTTGAAGGTGCAGGCATGCAGGCCCTGTCGTGCCCACCGTGACCCCCTTGCCCGCCTCATCTACCCGCCCCCTCCCACCTGTCGGCGCCTGGGCTCACCTGGCGCTCATTGTGCTTCCCGTGGATCTCCACGAAATCCTCCTGCACCTTCACGGTGAGGTCCTCTGGGGAGAAGTGCTTCACGTCCAGGAAGATGACAAACTTGTCCCGGTCGGATCGAACCTGAAACCCAAACACGCTGTGTGGAGCCATCCCGAAGGCGCCTCCCTGCTGGGGCTGCCGGAGACAGAGCGGGTCCCGGCAATCAGGACAGAGACGCTTCGGTCCCATGCGGGCCTCTCCCCCGACATGCCAAGTGGGACAGAGCGTTCGGGGCCTGTGACTGTCTCCTGGATGAATGGGCACGGCCTCGACCTGTCCCCAAACCCTCAGGACCAGCGGAGAGGTGAATGCTGGTGGGCCGGCTGGTGGTTTGGCTGTGGTCAGGTGGCTGGTTATAGACAGGTTGGCTGGTTATGGGCTGGCTGCTACTAGTTACGGTGTGTGGGGGGAAGCCATGACGGTTGCGTTGGCCCATTAGATCAGTCGTCTGGCTGGTGAATCTTGGCTGGCTGGCTGGGCTCAGCCTGTGGAATGAGGTCATTGCCCTTGGCGTCACGCTGTGTGCAGATGCGGACGGAGCCCACTGACAGCCGGCACAGCTGCCTCTCCAAAAAGCGCGTCCACATGCCCCCTCACTGCCCTGGCTTGGCCTCGGTTCCCAGAGGCATTCTGCATCCTAGCATTGATGGCTATCGCAGCGGTCCTGGGGAGGACCCTGTTTATTAGGTGCTGGGTGAGACTCAGGCCCTCCCTCAAAACTGCAGACCCACATTGCTCAACCGTGGCTTGGAGAGGAGGCTTGGGGGGTCCCATTGCCTCTCCTTTTGACCTTGGCAGGGCACCCGAGTAAACTTGGCAGGAGCTTTGCTGGCCGTGGGTAGGCCGAGCTCATCGGAGGTGGTGCTAGGGACCCCCTGCTCTGTGGCTCTCAGGACTGTGACCCCCACCCTGCTCCCAGGCCCCCGGGACTCAGGAGACCAGAGGAAGCTGGGAGCTGGCATTCGCCACCACCCTCACCTGGATGGGCTGCTCTTGGGGTTTCCAGTATGTGTCTGGTGCCTTACAAACCCCACGTGGGTCATGAGCTGATGGAGGAAAACAAGGGTGGCCTCAGGCTGCCCCCTTGTCCGGCCTCTCCCTGGTGCTATGGGAGACTCTGCCGCGTGGTTACAGTGGGGACATAGGTTCCCACCCGTCCTCGGCAAAGGGATGACATGGGGCGAAGCCACCTGCTCGGCAGAGCAAGACCAGAGTCTATCGCGCTCCACCTCCCAAGGCCACCACCCTGTGAGCAGCGAGGAAAAGCCAGCACTGCCAGCCGTGTCTTACCTCGGAGATGCCGGAGTCCAGCACGCTGCGGAAGAGGGACTGGCGGTAGTAGGGGCTGATGGTGGAGGACAGGAAGGGCAGCAGGTCATACTCAAAAAGGCCCTCGCCGAAAAACTGGTCGAACAGCCGGCTGGGGTAGAAGGGCCCCAGAGTGCGCTTGAACCAGGGGTGCTGGATGGTCACGTCCATGTTCAGCTTTGGTTCCACGGGGACCTGGAGGCTGGCAGGAGTCAGCGGGGCCTCTGGGCAGTGCTGTGCAGAGCTGGGGTGAGCCCTCCCTATATATGCCCCCGGCAGAATGGAGGCATTAAGGGATTTCTCTGGAAAGGCATGAGCTCATGAGGAAGGCTGCCCAGTCAGCAGAAAAGCGGCTGGGCCAAGTGCCCGCCCCCAGCCCCGGGAGGGGCTGCATGGACGGTCCCCGAGGCCTGGACTCAGCTGAGGCCCGCCTGGGCACCCTGGGGCTCCCGGGAGGGCAGACAACCCAAGAAGGAGCTGCGTGTCCCACACTGGCCTGGGGCGACAATGGAGCCTCTCATCTCCCAGTTACTGGGCAGGGTCTACGTGCCAGGGGCCATGCTAGTTCTCCGCATGCCTTGTCCTGCCTGGGTGGTCCTCATGGGAGGAGGGGAGCCCACACCCCCGTTAGAGACAGCAGTTAGAGTGGTCATCCTGAGGCTCATGGCGCCTGGGCAAGAGTACACTGGCGTTCAAAGCAGAGTGCCTCTGCGAACCTCCATCATGCCCACCACTTACAAGTGTGCATCTCTGTCAAACTCCTGGGAGACAGAAGGACAGAGAAGCTGAAAGGCACCCTAATCCCAGTGCCTGGGGGGGCCCTGCTGCATTCATGCTCATCCCCGGAGCCTGCATGCCTCCCACAGGAAGACTGGCTGGACGTGTGGAGGTGACAGCACCACGTGGTGGGCTTCCCTCTGCAGCCCACCCTGGACGTCCAGCCTCGTGGGCATCGTCCCCTGTAACACCGCAAGCCTCGGCGCCATGACCTGCAGTGGGTGTTGAGCTGGGCCGCTCCTGCCAGGGTGGTGACATGTCTGCCCACACGTCCCCACCACCCACGTGGTCCCACTCTCCGCAAGGCCTGGTGATGATTTGCTGCTCAACCCAAGGCCCTTGTCCAGCTCCCACTAAGCGTCCAGGCGCTCCCAGTTTTTCTGTTTGTGTGTTTGTCGTTTGTTTTGAGGGGCGGTATCTCTCTGTTGCCCAGGCTGGAGTGCGGTGTCATGATCTGCGCTTGCTGCGATTCTCCTGCCTCAGCCTCCTGTTTTAGTAGAGGCAGGGTTTCACCATGTTGGCCAGGCTGATCTTGAACTCCCGACCTCAGGTGATCCACCCGCCTTGGCCTCTCAACGTGTTACGATTACAGGCATGAGCTGCTGCACCTGGACCGCTCCTAGTTGTAAGTCTTTTAATATTTTGGGGCAAATTGGGCCTGGGAACATGGTCCTTCCCCACGTCCTCCCCCCAGCCTGGGAGCCGTGCCCCCGCCCAGGCCAGCTTTTCTAGTACACGGTCCAGGCTGTGGGGACGTGCTTCGTCCTCTTTGGCCTCCCAGTTCCTATTCAGCCTCTAACAGACTCGTGCGTGTGGAGTGAGCACATACCCAGGGCACGCCCGGGCTCTGCAAATTCATCTCCAGCCTGTGGGCTCAGGAGGCCAGGACAGGCCAGATGCCCAGTGTATGAGGATCAGACCTGACACGTCCCAGGTGGGATCAGGGCTGAAGGGGGGCTCCAATGTGTGCTCCATGGGGCCGGAGACACGGGATCCCCAAAAATCTTGAAACGACAGCTTTTGCCCTGCAAGGTTACGATTCCAGAGGAGCCGTTCCCTGGGGGGCCAAATTAAGGTGCAGCTAGGAAACGCTCGGGGAGTGATGGGTGCCTACCCCGACCTCTGCCTGTGGGTCCTCAGAGGCCCCCTGGGAAGCAGGCCCCAGTGTCATCCCACTTTGTAGACCAGGAAACAGGAGCTTAGGATGTTAAGCCACATGCCCAGGTCACTCTGCTTGGAAGAAGGGAATGGGGCTTGAAGCCCCCTTTCCAGGCGGGGAGGTCAACATCCAAGCAGTGGTGGGGTCTGGGTGGGGCAGTGGGTGGCTCTGCAGGGCTGACCACCTGTTACCTATTTCTGGGGCACAGGGATGGGGAAGAAGAGGCCGCTGGGATGGAACCCAGCATGCAGCTTGGCCCGGGGAGAGTCCAGCCAGGCCAGACGCACGGTCAGTGCTGGGCAGAGCCACACTGGAGCCTGAAGCAAAAGGAGAAGGTAGTCGTCCTCATCCTGCCTACATGTGTAAAATGTTGACAGTTTGTTCACCACAAATATTTTGCATTCATTTTGATTTACTTATTTATTTTATTTATTTTTGAGATGGAGTCTCACTCTGTTGCTCAGGCTTCAGTGCAGTGGTGTAATCTCAGCTCACTGCAGCCTACACCTTCCAGGTTCAAACTGAGCCACTGCATCAGTCCCATTTTTATTTTATTTTATTTATTTTTTTTGAGACGAAGTTTCACTCTTGTTGCCCAGGCTGGAGTGCAGTGGCTTGATCTCGGCGCACTACAACCTCCACCTCCCAGGTTCAAGCGATTCACCTGCCTCAGCCTCCAGAGTAGCTGGGATTACAGGCATGTGCCACCACCACGCCTGGCTAATTTTGTGTTTTTAGCAGAAACAGGGTTTCACCGTGTTGGTCAGGCTGGTCTCGAACTCCCAACCTCAGGTGATCTACCCGCCTCGGCTTCCCAAAAAGCAGGGATTACAGGTGTGAGCCACAGCACTCAGCCCATTTTGATTTTTTTAAACAGTGCATCAAAGCATGATTTAAACATCAGAACATTGACGGCGGTGTTTTTAGTGCCCCTGACATTTGGCAGGGAGGGAGGAACGTGCTGTCCTCCCTCACAGCTGGGCCTACACATGGTCAGTCAAACAGCGGGGACTGCGGGCAGGGAGGCGGCCGAGGCACCAACCTGGGGCTGGACACCAGCCTGGTCTGAACTGCACAGCTCTGGGCACCAAGGCTGGGCAAGGTCCTTCAGACTCGGGTGCCTGCATTTCTTGGCTCATGGCCAGCCTCTCCTCCACCTTCAAAGGCAGTAGTGGGTGGTGAGGTCTCTCCCATCACATCCATCTGGCAGGGACTCTCCCAGCCCCCCTGGATAGTTCAAGACTGCTCCCCACCCCATCTCAAGGCAGGCTATCTTCGGGAGCCTTAACTCCGGCTCCCTGGCCCGGAGCCCGCTGCACAAACATCCTCACTCATTGATCCACGTTGGTGCAGTCCTGTCTCCTAACGCTGTGTCCAGCGAAGTCCCTGCTCTTGCGGAGCTGAGATTGTCTTGGGTAGAGACAAACAACAAACAAACAAACAAACAAACACGTGCTGAGGCCAGCAGCCCCTGCCAGAGCCCTGCCCCACTCGCCTGGATTCTGGGGAAACAAGACCCTTTTGCCCTGGACATGGGCTCCTCCTGGAACTCGTGTTGAAGATGCCACCTCAAAGCCACAGTGCACAGGTGGCGGGCGGGGGGGTGACAGCCACTACGCTGAGGGATACACTGCCTGTGGAGGATGAAAGACCAGAAGAAAACCAAAGGCAAGCCAATGTCCTCTCCCTGATTCCCAGCACTGTCCACGTGCATCATGTCCGCACAAAACACACCTCCCCTTCTGCGGGGCTGAGTTCTACCGATCTGCGTTCCTAGCGGTGGATTCTCGAGGTAGGGATGTTCTCTAAAGCTACAGTGAGCACTGAATCAGTGACGCCTGGGCTACAGAACCATGGCTCCCAGGGAAACACAGGGTGAGGGTCCGGTGAGCCTCTGGCTGGATGTTCTCCTCACGCCAGCAACGCATCCTCTGTCTTGTGAGTGTTTCTGTGTAAAGATGCTTTACTGAATCTACAAATGTTGATTCTCGATCACTGAGCTCACGGCCAACAGCCCTCTAGCTGGGCCTGAAGGAAGCTTCTCTAACACGCATTTCCTCTGTGAGACGCGCTGCAGCTGTCTTACTTTCTGTAGTTCTGTGTGTTTTGTTCGTGATTTTGCTGTTTAAAATCCCCCCAAGCACAGAGCTAAAGAGTAGCCAAATAGTAACCAAAACTGTCTTTGGGTTTCCATTTGTCTGGCATATTTTTAGAAATCTTTTACTTTCAACCTATTTGTATCTTTGAATCTAAAGTGCCTCCTGT